GCTTATTTAAAACTACAAAGAAAAACTAGCAAAAGAATACATAGCACAGAGCCTTATATTATTGCTAGATTTAGTCACATTTACGGTATTAGGATAGCATCATCGTTAATTTTAGCAAATTAACTATACGTTTTATATAGAGGCGCGTGTAGTTTTAAATCAGACGATCTCAACGTCCGGCACGGAAAGACCTTCTATTTAAAAAAAAATCTGAGCGATATTTAATAAAACAAACAGTTGTGTAGCATAAAGACCGCCTTTTGTTTTCCCTCTATTTCTGTGTATTTTTGTTAACGTTAATCTTACCTTTACTTACAATAATGGGTATTGTATTATTATTGTATGGTATTGTAGATAGTTCCCAGACTAATGATGAAGAAGATTAGAAGCACAAATAATTTTCAGACGGATTATCTGTTTACTAATAAACTTAGCTAATATCTTTTCCAGGAATCTACTATGTTCACTTTTTACGCGGTAGAGCCACCATGCTGGAGGTATATTAAGGTTGTAGCACGAATGAGTCGACTCAAAGGACCATTCCCTCAGAGCATACCAGCGTAAAATAACAATTTAATGCTGCTGTGTTTCGTATGAGTGTAAAGATCCATTTTACGAGGTGTTCCATATTAGTTCTCAAGGGTAACACATCTGCATTTTGATTGTTAATCGAGAATAGATGTATAATGTATAGGGGCCACAACATTTCCTTACCATCGGAATGACTGTGCTTGTCTGTCTTTATTATTCTATAAAAAAAACACCAAGTAGAGACTGTGCTTGTTTGTCAGTTTTAATTATATAAACCCGTTTCTAGGCGTGTACTTCTTTAAAGCGATTACACACAATGTCACGCACACTATCTGTATAGGATTACCGTTATTCCACGAATAGTGCCGTATTAGAAATTTGTAAATTCCTACTTTTGAAAATTGTAATGTATGCTTTTATAGCGACATCATTCAAATACAAAAGTCTGTACGTAGTAGAGCTGCTACGCTCTTACAGAATTTATCCGTCTATCACAGGTTTAAAAGGGCCACTACTGAGTATAGGCTTTCCCCATACGGCGCCTCTACACGTTGGCCAACACAGTGGCGAATGTAGTGGCCAATAGCATTGGCCAACGTGTAGACGGGGTGTTTGGGCTTCATTGGTATGTATTGGAACGATGGCCCGCAAGTTGGCGCGAGATCCGTGTGGTGTCGGTTTTTTACAAAAGATCAAAGGATTGTTGGCGGAGTTTGGTCGCCGCGTCCACACGTTGGCTGCGCGTTTAGTTTGCTACAAGCTCCCAGAGTGATTACACGCATCTGATTTAAATTTTATATTCAAGTTTTGTAGGGTGGATGCCCCAATTACCAGCCTTCTAGTGCCAATTTCAACTTTAAACATTCCTACTACTTTAATTAGCGCGATTTAATTATTATTGAACATTTGTTTTAATCAATAAGCTATTTATCAAAAAAAAATTAACATTATTTTAGAATCAGATTATTTCGAGAAGAATTTTAAAATGAAAAAAAAATGAAGCACGTCGTTTATACGTGGTAGAACCATGCAATTATATTAGAAGTTTAGTTGCAGCACGAAGGCACGAAGGAAGGAAGGCTCGACCGGGGAAGGACCACGCTCTCACAGAATATCGGCGTAAAATACTAGCTTAATGATGCTGTGTTTCGTATAGTGAGTGTAGAGAACCAGAGACCCTTTTTAAAGGAAACGAGGCATTTCATCTTAGTCCTCACGGGTGACAATGCATCTGCATTTTGATTCGTCATCGAGGATAGATGTAGATTTCTATGGGCCACGTAGACCACTTACCATCAGGTGAACTGTGTGCTCGTTTGTCACACTATCCTATAAAAAAACGTATAAACTGCACGACCTTCCAACGTATGGACGCCGTCACCAATTCTCGGCCAATATATTCGCCACTACATTCGCCACTGTGTTGGCCAACGTGTAGAGGCGACAATGGATTGTCTTGTACGGGGGATTTTATCACAGTTGTCAGGCTCGGCAGGTTCGCAACCACAGATGCTGCTGCTAATATCCTGGTTTGATTCACTTTGTCGCTTTTTGCGCACCCTTGGGACGGTATGGAGTATTGAAACAGAAACGGAAACTTTTTTATTCAATGTAGATTATAACAATACTTATTGAAAGTCACTTTTTTCATTTACCACTGGTTCGCAAAAAAAAACCTCTGTCCTGGGAAGAACCAGCAAGAAACCCAGCGGGACTATTTTTTTTCCAATAATAGCTTACAATAATGTTTACAATTAACAACACAAGACAAATTAGAAATAGCTTGGTAGCGATCACCCTTCCCAGGGATTATTATCATCCATAAATTCCTTAATATTATAATAACCCTTTTTATACAAACTTAGTTTAATAACATTTTTGAACTTTGTGCATTACAAATTTTGTATATTTTCTGGGATCGCCCCAAGAATGAATTACTGACTCGGTGAAGTTGAGTAACTGTTACTACTAGCTTGTGTCTGTTCCTAGTATTTACAGAATGAATATCACTTATTTTCGCAAAACTACTTTTATTTTTGTGTACGTACATTACATATATTAATTTCCTTAAATTTTTGTCTCAGCGACTCTTTTGGTTTTAAATTATATATTGCTCTAATAGCCCTCTTCTTCTCTTGAATATTCTTACACCGACACTGCAAGGTTACTTACAGATTATGTGGTCGAATCCCGCACAGAACAAGTGTTTGTATATCCTGCAAATAATTGTTGCAGGTCTGGATGTTAGTCCTTACAATAAAGGAGAAAATCCTAGTATGGAATAATTTTTCATACATAATGTTTAGGAATTAAAATATTGTCCGAGTTGTTGACTTATTCACAGTCCACATTATACCCTACGACTTATTCACAGTCCACATTATACCCTACGACTTATTCACAGTCCACATTATAATCTACGATTTATTCACAGTCTACATTATACCCTACGACTTATTCACAGTTCACATTATACCCTACGACTTATTCACAGTCCACATTATACCCTACGACTTATTCACAGTCCACATTATTATCTTACGGTTATTAAAAATGTCTCGATCGGGGTTCCAAAATGTATGGAAACGCTATAGAATGTTGCCAAGCAGCAAATTTTAAGTCGCAGTTTTTTTTTTACAGATATTTTGGTGTGTATTAGAAGAGGTGTCCAAAATTAAGCTTCAAGCTCGTCTATGGCTCGAACAAAGATAAAACTCTTATCTTCATATTTCATTTCACAATATCAAAGAATATTATTTAACAGTTGCGTGATGGTAAGTTGTCAGCTTCTTTCGTGTTACGAAGTACCCAACTATAATCGACACCACTACAGATTTCACTAAATATGTAACGCATGTATGTCTATGTTATTTGAATGCGTTCATTATTACATCGACAGTTGCACGAGATACAAAAACATAACCTATCTACCGTTACTTTTACAGTCTTTCAAAAGTCCTTTTGTAAACGTAGGCCTCCCCCATAGATTACTTCATAGGGGGGATATTTGCCATAGTTGCCACGCTTGGCAATTGCAGTTTTTTTTATTTGGTTGTTATCAGATAGAGCTCTCTATCACCTGTTACGACACTCATTGAAGTATATAAACTCTAAGTAAAATATGTCGACCGATGACAATCCGGGGAATCAAAAGTAGTGCTATCGTCAACTAGTCTGTCTGGATTATGAAGATTATGACTATAAAATATACCTTAACAGCTCCTAACAAAGAGACGTAATTGTTGTAAGTTCGTCGCTATATCCTAATAGGCGGGGGGGGGGGGGGGGGGGGGGGGGGGGTTATTGGTAATGGTTACTAAGCTTAGTTTTTTTTTTAATATTGTTAATTGTTATTGGGAAAACGCTGCTACCCATCTCCTGATTTGTTTGACTCTGTCGTGGATATACAACATGTAACATAATTAACGTACTTTGAGAAAATAGTTTGTTCAGAATCGTTTACTGAATCGACTCCTATCATTTTTAATATAGGTAATGTCTTATCCCAAAAATAATTAAAACTACGTAAATTGCAGTCACACTATATGTGTACAGTCAAAACAAACTGAAATGGACCGTAATGTAAGGCAATAAGACTTAAGAGTGCAGTTTTATTTGTATTATTACTAATTCTGTCATTCAATAAAAATAAAGAACAATGAACTTTATTTCAAGCACGTTAAAGTCTTTGCGTTCGTGGATTTGTAGTGTGACCACAACATTCTTCCGGAATTAGTATAACTAATTTGATAAATAATCAGTGCATAAAAATGTTTTACTAAAAATTCAGTGTATGCATTATGATTATAACATAATATACTAGGGTAAACTAGCGTAAATATGTGACTCACTTAATTCTGTGATAATATGTTTTGATGCTTCCACTGCTTTATAGGAGCAAAATTTACTACTTTAAATTCAACTTTGTGATAGAACGATAAGGCTTCTTTTTGTGTATAAAATTTTGTTCAATACTTGTTAGACAAATAATAACAGTCACGTGATTTGTCATTTCACCCGCCATTTTTGCTTCCCAGCGGCAACGTACGTCTTGAGTTGTGATAATTAATACATTTTAAATGAAAAACATAGGTGTAACTTTATGAAATTTGGTGAATCAGTTGTTGAAAACATATAATTGCTGCCACTGTGAATGGTTTTGATCAATTCTGATTAATATTTGAATAATACCTTATCTACTGGATTCAAAAATTAACGATTTTCGAGATTTAAGCGCGAAACAGTGTCACCGAATTAACGAAGGTAAGTGTGATGTTTTTCTTATTCTTATATTAATAGTTTTAGTTATTGTGACTAATATAGTAAAATATATTTTAAAAAATATTTTTAATTGTGATATAAGAGTAGCGGCCATTTTCAAGCTTTTTTAAAATTTTTGTTAATTTTATCACGTTTTTTAGTTCTTTTTATCACGAAATTAAGTGAGTTGTTATGTTATTTCAGACACCATGGAGGAAAATAAGAATTCGAAGAAAAAAAACAGAAAATATAATGAGATAATGTTAAAATCAGCCATTGAAAGTGTTTTACAGTCAAAATTAACTTTGTACATGGCATCAAAGGAATTCAACGTGCCGTGGAGTACATTAAAGGCCAATGTTGAACGAGTTAAAGAAGAACGCAAACAGGGAATAACACAGATTAGGATGCTCAAAGTAGGTAGACCATTTTCTTTGTGAGCGAATTTAGAACAAAGCTTACTGTCATACATTATACAAATGCAAGAGCTTGGATTTGGCCTTACTGTAAACCAGATAAGACAAATAGCCTTTTCACTTGCTGAGACAGCTGAATGTAAGCATTACTTCAACAAAAGCAAAAGATGTGCTGGATGGAATTGGTGGGTTAGTTTTAAAGGTCGTTACGGTTTAAGTTTAAGGATTCCGGAAAATCTTTCATCCGGTCGTGCTATTTGCTCAAATCCCACAATATTAGCTGATTTTTATGAAAAATTAGAGGCAACTTTAGTTAATCATAACTTGTTGGATTGCCCAGATAGAATATGGAACTGTGACGAAACGGGTCTTATGTACGTCAACAAACCTACTAAAATTGTCACCAAAATAGGAAAAAAATACGTATATAATCGAACATATGCTGAGAAAGGCACTACAACTACAGTGCTAGCTTGCATTAATGCAGCTGGGCATTTCATTCCCCCCTTTGGTGATATTTAAAGGGGTAAGAAATATCCCTGGACTATCGAATGGGTCTCTGCCAAATAGTTTAACGCGACTGTCGCCAAAGGGCTGGATAAATGCAGATTTATTCTATGAGTGGTTGAAATTTTTCGACCGAAACATTCCTCCTACAAGGCCGGTTATGTTGATTATGGATTCACATGCGAGTCATATAGCTCCAAAAATTCTTGATTATGCTAAATCCCACCAGATAATATTATTTACTATGCCTGCTCACACAAGCCACATTTTGCAACCACTGGATGTTGGAGTTTTTCGACCACTTAAAGCGGCATGGAGAGCAGAGTTGCAAAATTATAAAGTAAACAATCCCACCTCAGTACCTACAAGATTTGATTTTCACAAATTCCTGACACCGGTTTATGAACAATGTTTTACGCCTACCAATATACGAGCAGGATTTAGAAAAGCCGGATTATATCCAATAAATAAAAATATTGTATGTTCAGAAGCTATTGCACCTTCAATATTATCAGATCAACCTGTTCCTACATCACAGTTCTCTATGGAAGAAATAATTATCGGTCAAGACTACGATGTTGATATTCCTCAAGCCGAAATAATAAAAACTAATTATGATCCCCTTAGTGAAGGAGCAATCAACGAGAAAGACTCTAGCAAACCTTCAATCCCAAGCATTAGTTCTATTGCCGAGGCACAAATTGAAAATAGTGCTCCTTCTGAGACTTTGCAAATGGAATGCGAGTTAGAACAAGTTCCGAACTCAATGTATAATATAAATACTGTAACAAATAATATAACCATTGACGATATACCGAGACCTATTCTTCAAAATAAAAATAAAATTGAGATACACGACATATTAATATTACCAAAATGGAAACCTAATATAAAAACACGACAAAAGAGAAATGTTCCCAAAGCTCAGTGCTTAACACCGGTCGCCACAACATCATCTACAAACGTATCTTTAAGACATGTCCGCCGAACAACTTTTAAAAAAGAAGATCAAAAAGTGAAAGATCGGCGAACACCACAACCAAACTTAAGAAAACAAGTAAAAGAAAACGTCAAACAAACTTCTCAACTATTAAATAGATTAAAATCTTCAATCTCGGATGATGAATGGGTTTGCCGATCTTGCAATGGGCTGTACTCACAAGATGTAAAGTTACAAAATGGAGCCGACTGGATTACATGTTCTTTCTGTACTAATCCTTATCATATCCATTGCCAAAGTCAAATTATAGGTGATAACCAAGAAGTTTTTATGTGTGATAGTTGCAGCATTGATGAATCTAGTGGTGAAGAGTAAAATAACATGAATAATAATAATAAGAGTATCTTAAAATATTTAAGAAATTCATTGAATTCTTACATAAACTTTTTATTATTAATAATTAAAAATGTACAAATTTATTCCTTGTTTCTTAGCTTTTAGTTGATTAGTAAAATAATTTTTAATTGGAATAAATTTCGCGAATTTTGTGAAGATTAAAAATAAATACTCACCTAATTCTGTTATATCACAATTAGAGTAGTACCATCACCGAATTAAAGTGATTGTCACCGAATTACACAAATCATCAAGCTATGCATAAAGTTCATTTACTTTAGGTTTATCATTTGAAAAATATGATTACTATTGCTCATATGGTAAACAAAAGTGTGGTTGATTCTCTTATATAAAATAAAACATTTTTATTAAGTTTCACCCGATTTTTTTTGCAATATTCTGTTTTATCACAGAATAAGATGAGTACACCCTAATTGGGGTGTCTGAAGGTGTGCGTTCATTACGTTACATATTATAGCCACTACACGGTAACCATACATATGTAACTGTAATAGTGGAGACGAACTGTCCACTATTAACAGACTCCGAGTGGTTTTCTTTAAGGTGGAGAAATGAAACTACTGTTTATGTTTATGAATGTACTGTCGAATGGGATTCGGAATGGAATATCTTTTGCATCAACCTTGCCTATATTTATATGGTTGGCTCACTATTGTTTTGCCAATGGTAACAATTAATATTTTGCCTAGCCAATTATATTGCTTATTTTATGACCAATGAAAACTATTTAAAATATACAATTATCTACGTTTCGTTTCCCGGCGTGAGACTTGTTTGTTGTTCACGAAGCTACGTCGCTGGACCGGGCTATATAAGACATGCAGATCGGTGCGCACGCGTAGTCGGCGAGCGGCGGCGGTATGGAATACAGCTCCGGAACAGCAAGAGGAAACGAACTGCGGCGATGAAGAAACGGCTCACCATTGGTCGACGGATACGTGACGATAGCGGCGTGTGAAGTCGGTGTGGCGCTGAATGATATTTGCGGCTGCTTCTTGTTTCTTTATAAGAACGTCAAATTATCTATATACAGTCCGCAGTATCTCAGTAGCCAAGAATAATTAGGAAATAAAATGTTTTTTTTATTTATTCTCGCCTTCCGCGTTATGGTAGCAGCGGAGTATATATTATTTATTCCCGTTTCGGTTTGATTAATCTGGCTGCTACATCACTCTCCCACCAGCGAAAGCGTACCGGAGGCTTGACGACTCGCCCGTATTTCGTAGTTTTTAAAATAGGTTTCAACTGGGTTGATGTAGATGATGAATTTTCAAGCTTCCTCGCTGTTGGTTTTGATGATGATGATGAATCCTCTGCAGTATCCTCGTTAATAATATAGGCAGGCTTTAGTCGGTCGATCGATATAATCGTAGATTTCCTTCCGGGTATTTGTAGTTTAAAAGTCTTGCTATTTCTCTCTAATACTTTATACGGTCCATCGTAGGTAGGTTGAAATTGTTTTTTTCATTGCGTCGTTTCTTACAAAAACTTGCTTGCATGTTTTCAAATCTTGGTGAATGAATACTGATTTATTATTTCTGTGTGATTGCATTTCGGTGCATTTCAACGATAAGGCTTTGTTAATTGATTCTCGAAGTTTAGTTACGAAATCGTAATCCATTTCTTGTTTGTTTGACGCTGCTGAACTGAAGAAGTCACACGGCAGCCTTATGCTGCAGCCGTAGGTTAGCTGAGCGGCGCTAAGACTAGTGTCTGCACGCGGTGTTGCTCGTAGTCCGAGTAGCACTGTAGGTAGCTCATCAATCCACTTTGTATGTTGAGATAAACGAGTTTTGAGTGCAGTCTTTAATGTACGATGCCATCGTTCGATTATTCCGTTTGACTGAGGATGGTATGCTGTTGTACGCGTCTTCTGTATTCCCATAGTTTGAAGAAGTTTGAGGAATAGGTTGCTTTCGAAATTCCTTCCTTGATCCGTTGTGATGGTTTTAGGTGATCCGAAACGAATAATCCAATTTTCATAAATTATCTTCGCGACGGATTCGGCTGAAGTATCATCGGTAGGTATTGCTTCTGGCCATCTTGTTGTTCTGTCGATCATTGTTACGAGATAACGATGTCCTTGCGGTGAAGTAGGTAATGGTCCAACGATGTCAACGTGCAAGTGTTCGAATCTCTCCGTGGGTGGAAATGTAGCTAGACTACTTGATGTATGCCTTTGTACTTTGCATTTTTGGCATTGAATGCATTGCTTCGCCCAGTTGCCAACATCCGCTTGCATTGCAGGCCAAAAGAATTTTTCAGTGATGAGTTTTCTTGTTGTTCTAACACCTGGATGACTAATGTTGTGCAGTGTATTGAAGACTTCGCGACGACATTCTTCTGGTATGTATGGTCGCATGGTTGTCGTTGAGGCTTCACAGTATATTGGTAGATGCGTCATTGGCATTGTAACTTGCTTGATGGACAAGTTACCTTGCTTCGATAGATGTTTTATGTTGTCACTATCTCTGTCTTGTGCTGCGGCGATCTTATGATAGTCGATTGATGTAGGGCACGTTACACTGTCGATCGGTACGCGACTGAGTGCGTCGGCAACTATGTTGTCCTTTCCACTGATGTGACGTATGTCGGTCGTGAATTCACTTATGAAAATAAGTTGTCTTGCTCTTCGTGGTGTTTCCGATAGTGATGGTTTCTTTGGAAGTACATATGTTAATGGCTTGTGGTCGGTAAAAACGATCAGGTTTCGACCCTCGAACGTTTTTCTGAAGTGCTTGATAGCCATGTAAATAGCGAGTAGCTCTCGGTCGAATGTACTGTAGTTACGTTGAGTATCGGAGAACTTCTTCGAAAAATATCCAAGTGGTTGCCATTTCCCATTGCTGTATTGTTGGAGAACTGCTCCTGCTGAGAGATCGGATGCGTCGCTGAAGATAGCAAGGGTTGCTTCGTGTGATGGGTGAGCGAGTAAAGCTGCATTTTGGATCGCAATTTTACAAGCTTCAAATGCCTTCGTGGCTTCATCGTTCCATTCGATTGACGTTTTATCTTTTTTCTTCGTGTTGTGAAGGTAGGCGTGAAGTGGTGCTTGGATTTCAGCGGCTTTAGGTATGTGTTCTCTGTAAAAATTTATCATCCCAAGAAAACGCCTTAGCTCTTCGATAGTTTTAGGTTTTGCATAATCGATGATTGCTCTGACTTTTTCGGCAGGCGGTTTTATTCCTTCCTTGCTGACGGTGAAACCAAGAAATTGAACTTCTTGCTGTCCAAATATGCATTTCGAAGGGTTGATTGTGATTCCGTTGTCTTCTAATCGCTGTAGCACGGTGCGTAGATGGGTTTCGTGCGTTTCTTTATCAGGGCTTGCAACAAGGAGATCATCAATAAATGCGAAAACGAAATCCAGTCCATGAAGTACTTCGTGTATGAATCTTTGGAAAGTTTGACCTCCGTTCTTTAATCCTGGGATCATTCTTGGGAATTCGAATAATCCCATTGGGGTAATTATTGCTGTCTTCTCTATGTCTTCATCGCGGACTCTTATTTGTTGGTAAGCTCGGTTGAGATCGATGGTGGAGAATATAGTCTTGTCTGATAGTTGATGAGTGAAATCCCTGACTCGCGGTATTGGGTAGCGGTCAGGAGTGGTAATAGAATTCAGTCTTCTGTAATCTCCACAAACTCGTAATTCTCCGTTCTTCTTCGGTACAATGTGAAGTGGTGATGACCAAGGGCTTTTGCTTGGACGGCATATTCCTTGCTCAATCATGTTTTCGAATTCCTTTCGAACTTGCTCGTATAGGTGTGGTGCGATTGGACGTGCACGACAATGAAGTGGTGGTCCATTGGTGTCGATGAAATGCTCAACGTCGTTCTTCGGTGTTAATTTCATTGAAGTTATTCTTGTGATACCTGGGTATTCTTCGAGGATCTTGTGATACGGTTGTTGCACATCTATGCTTCTTATTGTGGGCAGATTGGTTGCTTGTACAAAAGACTGAGATGCAAGATTGGTTTTCCCGTCGATGATTCTTCTATTTTTGATGTCGACGACCACCTGGTGATGTTGAAGAAAATCAGCACCGATGATTGGTTTGCTGACTTTAGCGACGATAAATCTCCATTTGAATGGTCGGCGTAGATTAAAATCAAGTTCCATTGTTTTTTCTCCATATGTAGGAATAACCGTATTGTTTGCTGCATAGAGTTGAAAATCTAGTGGCTTCAACTTCTGTCCTTGCTTCGGCGGTAACACTGAGATATTTGCTCCGGTGTCGATAAGGAAAGTGAGCTTGCTTTTTTTATCGGTGACGAAAAGACGGTAGGACTTTGCTGTTACGCTGGATCCCGTCGCATCGAGCGTACTAGTTAGTTTTCCGTATTCGTATTTTCATTTTTGAATGTACACGGTGCTGTGCATTTTCTTGCCTCGACCCCGAAACGTCGATGATAGTAGCAGTAAGGGGATCTTGATGTTGAGCTTATTCGACTTCTACTTGCAGAGCGGTTGCGACGAAAAGGTGATCTTCGGTGTTGCTGATTGCGCTGGTTGTACTGTTGCTGGTAAAAGGTATGATGCTGGGAAGCTTTGAGCGCGGCGACTTCGAATGATAGCTTCCGAATTTCTTCGAGAAGAAACTGGGTATCATTGGCCTTTGTTGAAGTGCCTTCGATGATCGATATGTGTGAGCTACTGCTGTTTTCGATCATCTTGTCCGCCAGGAGTGCCAGTTCGTCGAGCTTCGTCTGCGTGCTGAATGTTTCGCTGACTGCTATTACCGATCGAATATGTGGTGGTAGGTGGTTTACCCACATTAGCCGTAGTGTTGAATCCGGAACTTTATCTCGCGCCAAAGTACGCATTTTGCGTAGGAGTTGTGTGGGTTTCTGGTCTCCAAGTTCTATTTCTGATAGAAGTTTTTGTAGCTGTCGACTGTCGGATTCTTCGTATGCGGAGATCAGCCGATCCTTCAGTGAATTATACTGGTCGACTG